ATTATCAGCACGTTTGGTTAGTTTGGTTAGGTTATGACAGTTTAATTTAATAATAGAAAATTATAAAATTGTCTGTTTCTTCAGACGCAGCAGTTAGTGACGTCAGCAGTTAGTGACGTCAGCAGTTAGTGACGTCAAACGGCACCTGAGAAATCTTCCGTGTGCCCCACCGCCAACTATAGGACTAAAAATCACTAGTCATAACCTCTAAGAGAGGTTATGTTTTTGTTATAACCACTCATTGCCACCCAAATACAGTATAATCAGCTGATTGGTGTCCGGAAAAACTCATTACAGTACAGTAGTAGGCCTACTGTATGAAACCCCAAATTTGAAACCCGAGCTGGCAACAAACAGCTGTTTTCTGGACTAAATCCTTGCATGTGAACTTCGTCAAAATAGTGTAGTGTGGCATAGAAAATAATTATATATCTATTCTAATACTAGTAAAATTTGTTTGAAGCTCTTTCAAGAAAAGACAATAACAAATACAATTTAATTAATCCAGAATCATGTGTTTCAATTCTTGAAGTTAACGTAAACACATAGCCTATCGAAAACCTTAATTAAATTGTCACAGTACTGTATGTCAATTTCTTCCAATGAATAAATGACCCAGGCATAATTATTTGGGAGAGCCAAAATATTATCACAAGCTTTCATGTTGTTGTTCATGTTGTAAAAATAGCAAAATGATTATCAGTATCATAATACTGGTTTTTTATGAATCAAGTATATATTATAATAAACAAACCTAAAAAACCATCAATAGGTCCTCAAGGCAATGAGACTATTTGAGAATCTATATATAATTCCGTAAGTCAAATTTTTGTAAAGAAATTGTGAGTGACTGGATGGCCGTAGAAGGATGGGAGGGGTCTTATTTTAAAGGTCTTGACGTGAATTTTGAGGGAAAACTATTCATTTTTCTTATTTTTTTACCATAAATTAGCAACAGAATAAAACTTTTCCCATTAAAACAACATGGGGTTTAATTTGTTTACATCTTTTGAAATTGAAACAGCTGTGCCACAGATTTGAAAACAGTGATCAATACACGCATTTGGTTTACTTTTAGCCAGTCAACTATGAAATGTATACTAAAATAAAACTGAAATATTGAAGATTAGTCGGGAAAACGTCTGCATTCTTTGTTTATATTTAAATCATATTCTCAAGTTTCATTTTTTCATGCTTTTACGTTATTGTCGTGTTAAAGGAATAAACGACATAGAATAAATATTCTGTATAAATAATCAAAGAGTCGAAATTAAATCTAACTTCTGTTTTGTTTTTATTTTTAAATCATATGTTCAAGTTTATTTTAAATGATGTTGTTTTCTTTATATTTCTACACATTTTAAGGTTAAGGTTGTGTAAATATATACAACAAAAATAACCTATAAATGTTATTGGTTCTAAAATGGTGTATTTGCATTCCTTCGTAAGTAAATTGTTTTAGTGCAGTGAATATACAACGTAGAGTAATCATATTCGATCATACTTTTATAAAATCACCAGGGATTCAAGATGTTTTGGTATGTAGGCTGCTGGATATATATTATTTTTATTATAAGTACTGTAATTAATATGAACGCCAGGGGAATACCACAAAGGCGGGGAACTGTTCATAGGAATGACAGTGCGCGTAGGAGAGCAAGAGTAGATAATGACGAACTTAATCAAGATATGTTACAACCCCTTTTTAGGAGACCCATGGTAGACGAGAGAAATGTAAAGATCCGTGATGCAGGATTATTGGACCAAGAGTGCATTCAATGTGTGCTCTTCGTTTTAGAGAAGAACTAACGAATAATCATTTTATTACATGTTGCCATAACGGACTTATTAACCTTCCTCAGTCAAAAACTAATGTAGAACTTAAAAGTTTGTTTGAAGAGAGCCCACAACTGTATAAATTCATTCGACAATGCAACAGTGCGATGGCTTTTGCTTATTTTTCAGCCAGTAAGAAAGATATTCCAGGAAAAGGACCATACTGTTTCAAAATTCAAGGACAGATTTATCGTTCAATCTCTGATTTGCTGCCTCGACATGATGAAGACCCCGTGTATGGCCAATTGTACATTATTGACACATCAACAGCAACAGAAATTCGTCAAAGGCGTCTAGAAAATAGTGACTTAAAACCTGAAATATTGTCAAAACTAGCTGAAATTCTATTAGAAAATCCATTTGCACAAATTTACAAAAGAGCTTCGGAAGAAATGGTTGTACAAGGTGACAGTGAATTAGAACTTAAGTTTGTAGACAGGATAAATATGGATCGTCGTAGGTATAATAAGCCTACTGCAGATGAAATTGCAGGCGTCTTCAATTCATCTGAAGGCGAACCTCCAATGAATTTTTAAAATTCCAAACAGGGAAGCTTTTATTTATCCTCATTAACCACAAGACCAAAGCTACCTTAGTAAACCAGTATTTATTCACAAACAATGATATGTTTGCTGCCTTTTCATGTTAAACCACTGGAGTGATTCAAATTATTTATTGAAAATGACATCAACAAAAGCAAACAAAGAAGAACAACAAACTGGTTTTTACACAAAAGATATGGTGTAGGGATGCCTATTCTGACACATAGATATTGTTATTCTGAGTTTGTTTAAATACCGGTATTGCAAAAAGTTGTTTTACATTTGAGCTTTTTTAGGGACTTATGTCCCTACAAGCCACTAGTGAGTTCATAATGAAAGAAACTCAAATTGCAGATAGGTACAATTTTATAAGCCAACCATAATCCTTTGACAGCAGTTGGCATGGAGTTGTTCTCACTGTCAAACATAAGAGTCAGAAAGTGGAAATCCACATAAAAGTATCTATATATTTTATAGCAATTATAAAATGATTCATTAATCAAGATAAAATGTCAAACGAGATTTTGATTGCATAATTACCCCAGTAATAAATTAAGGAGGTCGTAAAAATTTTCTGATTATTCTTTTATGTGCTTTTAACCAACCACTGGCTTGAATCCCCCCCAAAACCATAAAATCCCCCCCAAATAAATTTCTGATGTCGCATTTTGCGACATCAAACCCCCCTGTGGGCACCCCTGAATCACCTAAAATTCAATACCAAACTCGTTATTACCGGCCTAATAGCTTCCAAGATATGGCTAAGCAAATAATGGTTAAAATTGCCAAATTTTGAACTGTTTTCAAGGTTGGAAAACTTTTACCTTAGAGCATCACTATCTCATCATTTTTCATTAAAACAACCATAATTATTTAAAAACGACATTAAATTTACCAATACAATTTCAGACCAAAATGGGGATTATAGGCCTAAAAAAACAGTGTTAAAAATAGGGCTCTTCAATTTTCATAAAATCTTCCATCAATGCTTAATTGTATTTCGAGTTTCAAGCTATTCAATTTAGCCAAATCTTTAAAAGAACTATATAAAGAATATAAACAAAATTATTTCATTTCAACAAACGATTGTAAGTTTTATTCAAAAATAAAATTGTTAAAATGGAAAGATATCTAACGTACAGTAATTAAAATGTTCATACTATCAAGAGGAATTACTATAAAGAATGGAAAGGAAACGGTTAAAACAGGTTTTAATAACTTTTCTTGGAATTCTTGGAAGGTTTATGTTGAAGATACTCTTCAGCATCCGAATCCATATTCCATTCTCCGGTATTTTTTCAGCCAAACCATTTTTGTTATCAGGAAGGCTGTCAGTGTTTACAAGGATGCCATCTACTACATCGTAATCTAGTAGGTCATTGGCCACATACCATAGAGCAACTCAAACCTGCTTTTCTAGAGCTACATGCATAGCCACATATTAAAGATAAAGTTTATCTTGGTTGTAGCCTTTGCAAAGAGCTGATAGCACAGGTCATTCAGGCTTTTTAAGCTACTTCCACCATACAGCGCAATAAGAATAAGCTCTCCTGCATCAGCTACTTCGTTAGGTGTGACATGCTAATTTAAAAAAATGCTACTTTCTCCTTGATTGCTCTCAACATCCCAATATCTCTAGTCATATGACAGTTGACCCCTTCCCCTCCAACAGTTCCACTGTTTAATGACATGACAAAATCAGTATTAGGGAATGGAGGGTGACAATATAACCAGTCACACAGCTTCTCCGTATCCGCTTCATCACGATTGATTTGTGAGGGTCTCATTTCTACACGCTGCTCAGTTGTATGCATCTTAACATTGCAGTAGGCCTACTCCTCAACCTCAGCACATATTCTGCATTCCTAGTGTCCATCGGGTGAGCACGGCGTCAGTTACAGTGCTTTTTAAACTTTGGATCTCACAATTTCATGCCGTCTAGTATAACATTGATGGAAGATTTGGATTTGATGAACTTCAAAGAGCCATACCTACATCAAAAAATGTTAGGGGTATAATGACAATTTTGGTCTTGAATTGTAAGTTATTGAATGTACTTTTAAAATTATGTCTCAATGAAAAAGTGATTCTTCAGGATAAAAATTGACCAAACTTTAAAAAACTCAAAATTTTGCAATTTTAGTCTTTATTTTCTGAGCCATATCTTAAAAACTATTAGGTCTGTAACAATGATTTTGGTCTTCGATTTTAGGTAATTTGATATACTTTTAAAATGATAATAGTTGTTTTTAATGAACAAGTTATATTTCAGGGTCAAAATCGGACAAAAATGTAAAAAAAGTGCTAAATTCTGCTGATTTTTTATTATAATAGTATTGTATTTATAGTTAGTATTTTACCTGAGTTACTCTGTAAAACAGTTATATTTGTACTGAGAGACGCTCAGAAATAAAGGCATTTTTATTTATTTATTTATTCTGGCGGTGATCCGGAAGGTCAAAAAATTGGATTTAGCATCTCAGAACATCACAAAAAACATAAAAAAAGAAACCTACTACCCCATTTTATGCAAGGTAGACCCTACTTTTAATAAAAAGGTTACTGGGTTATAACCAAATTAACATAGGATATACTCATTGCAGAAGTGAAAATTGTACAAACCAAATAAGAATGAGCAGAACAGTCATGTTTCTCAGACGAGGGCTTCTGAACAAATCTAAAACAGAGTATTTCCCCCCACTCTCCTCTTCTATTTGTGCAGCAAGACAGCTTTTCTGAAATAAAATAACAACTTTGAGCGCATATTTAGTTAAAGGCACTGTTGTTTAGGTGAATAACTAACTTTATCTTATAGAGCTATACTACTAACACATTAAAATACCCCCGCCGCAGCAAACTTGCAGACATTAACAACCCAAATTTTGGTAGTATTACGGAAAAGTTCATAAGACTATTTAAAATCTCAGAGGAAAGATGCAGAGAATAGCTTTAGCTTGAGTACCTACATCCAGTATTTCAGGATAGTGTCAGCAGTCCTTAAGCAGTTTATCGAGGTTAAAAGAACTGTGAATTTGTTGAGACTCCTGCAGAGTACCACAAACATGATTCCATATTTCCACGCAGGCCCACTTTTATAAACAGGCAGACTGGGCATATGAACAGGGGCGCCGGTGGTGAACCACCGCCCGCACTAGGAAAAATAGGTTTTTTTTTGTTTTTTTTAAGGGAGAGGAGGGAAAATGCTTTTACGCACACAGGTAGCCAGCCTGTAGTGTGAGACTCGTGAAACTATCACAGACTACTCACTAAAAAAACCCCTCTACTCTGTTGGACACAGACCTGGAATTGTTTGTCACATTACTTCAAGTCAGGCCAACATGTGACCTAAGCCCTCAGGGCTCTCACTGTTTTTGGCATTTAGATACTTTATGACCTACACCGCATCCCGGTCAAGGTCGAGCTTCTTGGCGTGGAGAATACTCTGGATGTAATGTGACACACAGGTCCAATTGTTCTCACCCTCCGTCATCTTCGGTATAACCGTGTCCACTGACAGCAGTCCTACTAACTGTTGAGCCTCCAGGCGGGGCCCTTCCCAACGCTGGTAGTGGAAAAAGGTATGTTCCACGTCATCGGGAATGCCTGGGCAGTATATGGCTTTGCCCATCCTGAACAGGTACGACCAGAAAAAGGCGTGACCCGTCAGAAATTGGGTGAGGTAGAAGTCCACCTCTCCGCACCGCCGATTAACCCAAGGTTGGACTTGATGTATCAGTCGCCTGGTCCAGCGTCCAAGAGTCTCCTGTTCCCAGCTCTCCTGCCACAGCTGGTAGGTGCGGGTGGGTTCCTCTGTTCGTGCCTGGTCCTCCCCACGGCGCTGATAAATTGCCTTTCTCTCCGCCGCCAAAAGTTTGACGGGGATGACTCCAGCAACCACCAGGACAGCGGGTTCGGACAATGTTCGGTAGGCGGATGCAACTCTTAGTGCTGCCTGACGCTGCACTCGGGCGAGCCGCATCCTATATACCTCCTTATTGAGAGCGTCTGCCCACACCTCAGCACCGTACAAGAGTACGGACTGGACAGAAGACATTAACAGCCTTCTACGGCTGGACCGAGGACCTCCGATATTGGTCATCAACCGGCTAAGAGAGGAGACCACCCTAGCGGCCCTGTCCGCCGTACGGAAAATCTGATCCCGCCAGCTAAGCTTGCTGTCCACCATAACCCCAAGGTACTTGGCAGAACGAAAGGTCTGAACTTCGACGGCCCCTACCCTCAACGGCACGATGGTGTCAATCAGTTTTTTTGTTAATGAGTGAAAATTTAAAAACGTACGTTTTTAGGAAAAGCACTTAGCAAATTCTTTTCCCCTTTTTTCAAAACTTTTATTATTTTTTTATTTCATTAACATTTGAAGTTTCATAAAATGTCCATGGTAACGCAATATCTTTGGTAGTTTCTTTTTAAAAGAGCATCTTTAGTTGAAAAACACAAAATCCTGTCACGACCATAACGGACGTTTAAATGAATATTAAAAATAGTTAATATTATTTTTATAACTATGTTTTGCTATAAACTAATTTACTTTTATGACCATTATACAATAAAAAGGTCACTGAGCTTTTGGTATATTTGGTCTTTCTAGAAAAAATAAAAAAACTCAAAAAATTGAAAAAAAGCCAATAAAATCTTTTTAAGTTTGTATAACTCTGAAGAAACTTACCTGAGACCCGAAAAATCGTTATGTTTGTATAGAGTTGTGCTTCTTTTGAGTATAAAACATTGAAATATGACGATATTTTAATTTTTGAAATTTTTATGATAGAAATCATAAACGTGATGGTCAGGGACAAGCGGTACGGTCGTGAATTTTCTGGAATAATCTAAATCTTTCTAAACAATCCTTCAATTATCCTGTTAGTTATAATAAAAATATGTGTTTCAATTGAACTAAACTGTTCAATTTACAATTATATTAAAGTTATTGTCACGACCAAACACACTATAATCCATAAAGGTGGATTGGTCGTGAAAAAACCCGCGATGGTCGTGAAACTTTGGTCGTGAAATTACGTGTTATTTGGCTCTGTTCTGGCGGTAGCCTTGCACCTCATGTTCGAGGATACAAAGTGGACTTCTACGTTAATCTAGCAATTGAAATATCTTATAAACAAAAATTAACACCATGTCTACTTCATCGAATGACTACGTACGGACATGGACACACCAAAATTACAAAAAACACAATCTTTCCTTTATTAATCTTGTAATTCCTCCTTTCAATTCGAAACGACCGGCACTACAATCCTGACGTACACCCCAAACTAGTCTCTAAAACCAACTGAATCCATCGACGCCAGGCTTGCCACTGTCGTGCACCAAAGTTGAAAATTTTTCCAAAATGGTCGTGACGCCAAATCGAGGGACAGACTTATTTTGTCATGGTAGTCAGTTTGTAATGACAATAAAATTATAATATGCTCCTTTTTTGTAAGTTTAATAACCATTGATGACATAAAAATATGGCTTTATACAGGGTGTCCATAAAAAACGTTTCAGGACTTTGGGAAATGAATCCCCATACTAAAAGGAAGAAAAAAGTTTATGGGAAGGTATGTCCGAAAATGCATATTAACCCAGATATCCGCCATTTTGTTTTTTATACAAAAATATTTTTATCTGTGAAATTTTTTATTCGACCATTATGAAATTTGGTATACATGTTAACATACACAAGACCTAAAATATAAAAAATAATAAAGTTGTTCCGATTGTAAATTTCAAAATGGCGGCCGTTTTAATTTTTCTAACTTAAATAACTCAAAAACGGCTAATTCTACGAAAAAATGCCAAGAATACTTTTTTTTAGCATTTTTAATTCCCTATCAAACGATACCAAGATCAAAAAGATCGGACAAATGATAACTGAAATATAACGTTTTTTGTGTAAAAATAAGGCAAAGTTAGTCGGGGAACCCTTAATTTTTGCCTTATTTTTACACAAAAAACGTTATATTTTAGTTATCATTTGTCCGATCTGTTTGATCTTGGTATCGTTTGATAGGAAATTAAAAATGCTAAAAAAAAGTATTCTTGGCATTTTTTGTAGAATTAGCCGTTTTTGAGTTATTTAAGTTAGAAAAATTAAAACGGCCGCCATTTTGAAATTTACAATCGGAACAACTTTATTATTTTTTCTATTATAGGTCTTGTGTATGTTAACATGTATACCAAATTTCATAATCGTCAAATAAAAAATTTCACAGATAAAAATATTTTTGTATAAAAAACAAAATGGCGGATATCTGGGTTAATATGCATTTTCGGACATACCTTCCCATAAACTTTTTTCTTCCTTTTAGTATGGGGATTCATTTCCCAAAGTCCTGAAACGTTTTTTATGGACACCCTGTATATTTTGGCATGAATAATTAGTCTAAAAACAGTGTGAAAGTTGGAAAATGTACCCTAGGGTACGTCATGGTCGTGAATTTCGAGACTTTAAAAATACGAAAAAAATACCTAGAACCTATTTAAAACCAAATAAATGTGTGTAACATGTTGCCCCCGTCCCAAAAATATTAAAACACATAATAATAAACTAAAAACCAGTATCTACGAAGTAAAAGGCCAGGGACATGAAAACGTACGTTTTTAAATTTTCACTCTAATATCACGATCTCAGTTTTGCTCAAAGCAAGCGAGAGACCGTGGTCTGTCATCCATGCGTTTATGGTACGCATAACTCGGTTCAGCTTTAGCTGAGCCAGCTCAACGCTACGTGCAGCTATCAAAACTGCAACGTCGTCTGCGTACCCAACCAAAGCAGTTTCCTCAGGCATTTCAGACCTCAGGAGGCTGTCATACATGACATTCCAGAGGTCTGGGCCGAGTATGGAACCTTGGGCAGCACCGGAAGTGACACTCATCGTCCGTGGGCCCTCTGTAGTTTCATACATGAGGAGGCGGAACCGGAGATAATCCTCTATGATACGCATGAGGTATGCCGGAACGTGGAAGGTGTTCTCCAGAGAATCCAGCATATCGCACCACCTCGCGGAATTAAATGTGATTCGCACATCGAGAGTTACGAGTTACGAGGAAAAATAGGGTTGTATCAGCCGGGATTTCAAAAATAAAAAGGGCGATTTCAACTTGTAGTTAAGTAATGAAATAATGATTTATTCCACCATAATAACATAAAATACAAATGAAATAAAAACTCGGAATTACGTTGCCACAGCATCCAGTTAATGTGACAACGTTAATTTGCAATCACCAAAGTGATTTTCCCTTATTGCAAAAGTAAATAAATACAACAAAATTGAAAATACTCGACCTTTAGGTTATACCTCGTGTAGTCAGGGAAAGGCAGGCAGCAGTGTGAACCGGGCGCACTCACTATACTATCAGAGGCAGGGAGGCCTGCATGGTGGAAGGAAAATATATAGGTGTGCTATTCCCGTCATATTATGCTGACGTCACTCAGATTGCAAACACCATTTTACCATTGAGAAAAATTATAAAAACAATAACAATCAAATCAAAACAAATATATACTTATATGGCAATACATCAGCTGGTTTTTTGTTTGCAATTTGGGTGACGTCAGCAAATTACGGGAATAGCACGTAGGCCAGCTGTAGTCTACAGGCCTACGGTTGACGTGCACCTCCTATCCCTCCCAGTCCCAACCCCATCCCCACAAGCCACAACTACCAACACTACAAACTACCGCGCAGCGCCAGTCCAGTACAGTACTCCTCCCTCAGTAGTCAGTAGGTTGTGTTCGTTTTGTGCCTGTTGCACAGTCGTCAAATCAGTCACAACACAACCTAAACTGTGACAGTCACTAGTCAGTGTTAACACTCACACTGCAGTTAGTGAACCAGTAATAAATAAATAGAGAAGTGTTGATACAAGTAAGTAGGCCTAGAAACAGTAAAAAAACCTAGTGGAGCCGAGAGCCGCAAGCGGTTGGCTCAAAGAAAACAAACTCAAGAAGCAGTTTTAAAGAAAGTGAAATGTATTAACCAGTATTTCCACTGATACGGAATTGAAAACTAACTCCCTCCCGAAACAAAACTGGTAAAAAAAACACGCTAATGTATAAATATATATAAATATAATGTTTGAAATTTCCAATAGTTTTTGAATAAAACAGCTGGCATGCTTGCTTGGCCTTTATCGAAACTCTTATTTATGCCGAAATTTCAAAACTTTAACCATTATTATCTTTGAAACGGTTAGGTTTATGAAAAAAAAAAACACAAGAGTAAAATCCCTGGGGCATTCCTGGCATATTCCCTTTTTTAGGGTTTTTAAATATTTTTTTTAAGTATTGCGACCATTTCAGCTGTCGGCTCCTCTTTAACCGCTTGAAAACTATTAATATCAACAATCACAAATAGCTCAAGAGGTAAGGTAAGAGTTTCATAAGTCAAAGGTACCCAGTTCAAAACTCGTCTGGGCAAAAATATTTTTGTTCCTATTTTTCCCAAAATTTGTTTTTATGAGCTATATTATTAAAACACTTTACTGGTAAAAGTGTTTTTCAGACTAAATATTTATTATTTTGTGTTTTTATGTATAATTTCCTGGTGGGATCCCAGGGATTAGGATTTGGACGGACATAGTGATATCCCAGGGAGTTCCCCAGGATATCCTGAGGACATTGCGAGATATATATATATATATATCCCCCAAATGGGATATCCCCAGGACATTCTAAGGATATTCTTGTGTTGTGTGGGTAAATGGCTATAACTAAAGGCTGTCTCATGTTATGTTGAGGCAGACTACCTGATCAGAGGGTAGAGAAGAACAATGGCTAGGCCGGTCCTTCGACGGACCCTCCCGACCCTTGGAGTAAATCCCATTAACCACGCTTCACTGAATACTTCACTTAAAAGCGTAACTATATTGATTAATTGAAAATATAATCAATTTGTCATATCTGAAAATAACGTATTCTAGGTTATAAAAAAAAAATTTTCATGTTTGTCCCATGTAAATCGGCCGACTTTAAGTATACACAACAAACTTTTCCCCTTATAACTAAGTACAATATTTAATTTTAAATTACTAATAATTGATATTCTGTATTATACTTCGTTCATAATACTTAGGTGGTTTTAGGGGAACAAATCACCTCCACTTAACCCTTACCTTTAAAAATAAGCATTCGAAACGCCGTTAATGAGTGGAAGCCTCGATTGTAGGCTTCTGGTGCCGTTATCAAAACTCGAGTAGGATACAACTTGACACACTGATTCTCCGGTTCCCGGCATGGATGGTGGCTAGTTATTTGATTTAATTTACAATTACATATTGCCCTTGCGATGAATCAAACCCGTTATTTAAGCCACGCGGTTATTAATCTCACTTCTTTAATGTATCAAATGTAAAAATAACAAAAAAAAAATATATAATTTTAAACAATCTACAGAAAAAAACTCTAATTTTATTTATATTGATGGATGCACTATTAACAGACTTATAAATTACTTTGTGCTACAACACAAGAGACAAATTAGCAGTTTGTTGTAATACTTCAAGTCGGCCGATTAGCATGGGACAAACATGAAAAATTTTGTTTTTTTTATAACCTAGAATACATTATTTTCAGATATGACGAATTGATTATATTTTCAATTAATCAATATATTTACGCTTTTAAGTGAAGTATTCAGTGAAGCGTGGTTAATGGGATTTACTCCAAGGGTCGGGAGGGTCCGTCGAAGGTTCGGTCTAGCCATTGTCCTGCTATACCCTCTGATCAGGTAGTCTGCCTCAACTTAACATGAGACGGGGAATACCTATACTGTATATGCTTATAATCTTAAAACAAAACTTACATGAAATTCACCATACACATTTTCGGGAACTTTAGATTTGTTTATGCGTTCAAACTTTTTCAAAATCTTGATTGCCTTGTCTATCTTTCCTTGTGAAACCAGCCATCTAGAAGTAAAAACAGGTGAAATATAGGGAAAAGTACGTACTACAATTTAGAAACCATATCATGTTCTTTTTAGATTCCTACCCTTTTGGAACAATATTTGAGAAATACATCGTTATATTTTTTGTGATATTTTTTAATGTTTGGGGACAGCTGCTGGCTACTGCCATCAGTGATATTAGGTAAGATATTTTATAGTCTGTGTCAAAATATTAAGAATGAATGAATATAAGATAAGTGAGACTAAAATATTCATCTTAAACATAATTATTATTAAAGTCACAGACATATTGTTCGACAATCAAAGGCCAGAAAAAATTAAATAAAGTCCTGTAGTTATTTTAAAAACCAACATAAAGTTAAATGGAAAAAATTTACTCAACTGAAGTAAAAATATTTCGCTTGAAAAACTGTGCTATTAAAATGTTTATTAAAGTGTAAAACTTACCTGGCACTTTCTGGTACAAAGAATGGACTCATGAGACCAATGGCAAGTGGGAATGAGGTAGCAACACAGAGCCATCTCCAGTCAGCCACCCACAGAGATAACCACGGCAATATACATGTCGCCAGAGTGAAGAAGATGGCGATGCTCATGTTGGCAACAAACGTCCGCCACTTGGGCCCAACATACTCCAACACTGCAACAATGTCAACAAATAACAACCTTTACTTCAATACTTTCCCCTCCCACAAAGAAGTAAGGTACAGGGGAAACTTCTTGATAGGATGAACCGCTTTCAGCTCTGGTGTGTTGTGCCGGAAATTTACTTGTGACGAGCAAGGAAGGAGCCCAAGCAGCGAGCACTGTGCAGAAATTCCTATTGCACAGGGCGAAAGGGTCTTCCTCTTTCGTGAGTGTTGTAGAACAAGCAAGGGGGGCGGTGTTGGACTTTGCCCTAGACCCCATAGTGACTAGTACTAGGCACCACTTAAGTTTACTTTTCAATATTTCCTCTGTACCTTACTTGTCTGTGCCCCTCAAAGAACTTTAACTTCATCACAACAAGTGTAAACATGATACGTGCATCTTAATCCTTGAAGCATATGACAATAAACTAACAAAGTTCATTGATTCAGCAGGGGTAGCGGATTTTTTCCCCCTGGAATTTTACCCCCTGGGCGAACGTGACGTCACAAACCAGGGGGTAAAATTCCGGCCGCGAACTATTGAGTTTCGTAACATCAGTTCGATGGATTAAACGCGGAATTAAACGTATATTTTCACGGTTGTGAATTTAATCATAAGACATCAAATTATAAAAACCTAGAGTGTACGGGCCGGAATTTCACCCCCGGACTTTTACTTCCTTCATGAGGTCAGCTCAAAATGTACCGCCCGGAATTTTACCCCCCGGATTTTTACCCCCGAAATTTTACCGCTGGAATTTTAACCCCTGGTCAGATATTTAAATTAGTGAGAATGGTTAATTTATCTTCATTCAGTTTTAATTTAATAGTAAACATTTTTAGCCTATTTTAATTTATTTGCAAGATCAACTAATCGAACAGGTTTTTAATTTAATTATGAGATTTGAGTATCAGGATTCGATCTTTGAAGCTAACTGTTGGTTATGACGTATAAACAAACATCAGAATGGTAATTGATTCGAAGATTTCTTTAACGATTTATTATACAACCGTGCTAAACAATGTTTTTCGTTTGTATTGTAACAATAACTAAATATGCCTTATTGTTTCTTTACGCCCACCCAATTCACCCAATATCATTCAAATAAGTTACTCAGTTTATTTTACATACATACTAACTTATTAACAGTTGGCCCCAAACGCAAATCTTGAACATCAAAATTAAATAGTGAATTCTGTTTACTTAGAAGAGATTACAAATTAAATAAATAAAGATAGGCTATTCAATAATAAAATTCCATTTTTAGCCCCTGAAATGCTTATAGACTAAAATAAAACGTACCTCGTCTTGCAGTTCAAATAGTGTGTTTTTGTTAACATTGAAGTTGTAGAAGTTGTACATAAAAATGTTTTGTTCGTGCGCGTTAAATGTATATACTGTTTTATGTGTAAATGGAAACTTCTACAACTTGACAAGTCTAATTTGGATGTTATAACGTTTCAATGTTTCTGTGTACCACTTGAAAATGCCAACATGGCGAAACATGTAGTGGATTAACAAAAACATACTATTTGAACTGCAAGACGAGGTACGTTTTATTTTAGTTTAATAATAAAATGTTTACGATTAAATAAAAACAGAAATAAGAAAATCAATCATTCTTATAATTTCTATATCCGGCCAGGAGGTAAAATTCCGGGGGGTAAAAATCCAGGGGTAAAATTCCGGGGGTAAAATTCCGGGGGGTAAAATTCCGGGGGTATAAATCCGGGGGTAAAACTCTGGCCCGTACATCTTCAGTTGTCTAAACGCTAGTTATATGGACAGGGGGTAAAATTCCGGTTTTTATTGCTAATCGAATTAATCACGCTCTGTCTATTTTCATTAGACTTCCAAATCCACGGGGGTAAAATTCCGCCCACGAACAACCTTTTGGGCGCTCAGGTTACTAAGTCATAGCACAGAAAACATACTACTATAACCCAGAATGCCAACCGCATGGTAAAAAGCATTAAGTGTTTTGAGAGAGCTTTGCCTGTCAATCGTAGGCAGCGCCACTAGCGTTGCCATGCACTCAGCATAGCAACGCTGGTGGCGCTGCCTACAGATTGACAGGCAAAGCTCTCTCAAAACACAATGCTTTTTACCATGCGGTTGGCATTCTGGGTTATAGTAGTATGTTTTCTGTGGTCATAGTGACGTCAGCTTTGCCCAGGGGGTAAAATTCCAGGGGGATAAAATTCCGGCGACCCATTCAGCAATGGGAGAAGAAATATAATAATGTTAGTTAGGCCCAATTAGGGTCCATTGTTTTGGCTTAACTTGGTCTAACATTTTTAATGCAGTAGGCTGAAACAAAGCATTTGACATGAAAAAGAGCCAATGAATAACTATTAATTAACAAACATGATGGCAATATTATGAAAACAGCCATTCTTAAGCTGCCAGATAATTGCACCATTTAAGCATCAAATTAAAGTCAGTAATAGAACAATACCTTGACATGACATATCAATTTGGTTAACCTTCCAGAGGTTGCATCACGGAAGTAACCTCCAGGGATGCTATTTTTTTGCGATTATATTATTTTGAGTGGTGTCGGCAGTGTGAGTGTCACTGTACCTCACGCACCTCATTCCTAGAATAGAATGAAGGTCAAAACTCACCTCTACTATTTTATATTTGTTAGTTTTGTAAGAGGCTGGAACATCCGTATGCGCCCTGCCGATTCTCGTACAGCCTGGAGGCAACTTCCGTGATGCGACCTCTAGTTTAGTGTGTGCGTTGATTATTGCGTGTAAACAATTACTGTAAATAATTTTTTTTTTACGATTCATGTCATTATTTAGTAAATATATAGTTTTTACTAGATGACAGAAGAAGTTAAATTTTGAATTGCAACACTCTTAGCCATGCTGAAAGGGGAGATTCACGAACGACATATGTACAGAGCCATTTAGTATTAAAGATACCCATTATGTTAAATTACTTAAGACATCAGGTATTGAGAGTGTTATCAATCAAACCCACATTATAGGACATTGTGGTAAAATTTAAATTAACTTCTTGGAATATATTCTTGTAAAAGATTTCTCCATATACTTTTATGTTAGAACATTTGATAGAATAATAGTTTAATTTTATATACAGGGTGTTCATTTGAAAACTTTCCATATCTGTTGTGTGCAAAGGTAAGGCTTTTAACACTTGTTTGTTCTCATTTCCCCCTAATTTGGACATGCCAAATCCAATAAAATTATTTTCAATTTCGAAAAATGCCCCAAAAGGGCCCAATTTGGGGGGTAGGGGTGCTTTTTGAGAAATTTTCAAATGTAAACATGGGTTGTCTGATACATCAATTTAAAGGTCTAATCACCCCGACTATTTTGGTGCAATAAAAATGTAATTATCTTTAACTACTGAACGGAACAGCGCCAAATTTCTTTCCAAGCTTATTCTTGATCTACTCTTTAAAATAACTTGTAATAAGGGCATTTTCCATGTTATCTTCTAATTTTTAAAAAATCTCAAATTTTAAGAATAAAAGAAAGGTGAAAACTCAAAATTCTTAAATAGCAAGGTATAACAAATTTCATACCACGTGAAAGGTCCTTTTTTAACAAACATTTTACGTATTTAAGTTTTCTTTCTATCTCTTACCGTTTAAAAATTGCAGTAGAAAAACTGAATTTTCTATGGTAAAATTATAACTAGTTTTCTAACAAAACACATTGCACTTTGCTCAACGATGTATTATGATTAATTACAAATTGATCAACTACTTTTACTTGTGTCAGTTCATCTTGGACCCTTCATCCTGTTTTTTTCTCATTGGGAACTGAGCCAGTTTCAGAAATTTCTTAACCAAATCATTTACAGCTTTATGACTTAAGGTCTTACCTGGATATTTATTGTTAAACACTTTGCAGTTATCCTGAAACACTTTTGTTCTGCCCAATAAGTAAAAATAAAGTCTATTTTTTAAGTGTACACCATATTCGATTAGATGCTACAGAAAATAGTACTTTTTGAAATTAGGTACTACCGTTGACTAGTCAATGGTACTACAGAAAGCAGCCCACATGTAGGTTGTCCTCATCAGCTATAAGACTTGTTTTTCACAAATTAAAACGTAACGACTTGTTTCTCAATCATGTTATCAATAATTATGAATTGTTTCCTTCAGTTAATGCACCATTAAATGTGTCTAGAGACGAATTTTGGCTGTTTTATTAGAAAACTAGTTACAATATTACTATGGAAAATTCAGTTTTTCTACTGCAATTTTTAAACGGTAAGAGATAGAAAGAAAACTTAAATACGTAAAATGTTTGTTAAAAAAGGACCTTTCACGTGGTATGAAATTTGTCATACCTTGCTATTTAAGAATTTTGAGTTTTCACCTTTCTTTTATTCTTAAAATTTGAGATTTTTTAAAAATTAGAAGATAACATGGAAAATGCCCTTATTACAAGTTATCTTAAAGAGTAGATCAAGAATAAGCTTGGAAAGAAATTTGGCGCTGTTCCGTTCAGTGGTTTGGGTAATACGGCACTTAACTTCAAAGTCCTTTTTAAAAACGTTTTGACCCACCCTGTAAATACGGTTAAAGATAATTACATTTTTATTGCACCAAAATAGTCGGGGTGATTAGACCTTTAAATTGATGCATCACACAACCCATGTTTACATTTGAAAATTTCTCAAAAAGCACCCCTACCCCCCAAATTGGGCCCTTTTGGGGCATTTTTCGAAATTGAAAATAATTTTATTGGATTTGGCATGTCCAAATTAGGGGGAAATGAGAACAAACAAGTGTTAAAAGCCTTACCTTTGCACACAACAGATATGGAAAGTTTTCAAATGAACACCCTGTATATAAAATCTAAATTAAATTATTATACATTTAAGAGTTCACTAAACATATTTTTGATGGTTAAAATTTAAAATAAAACTTAATTTGTGCACTAAAATACAAATTTTACTTCATAAATGTTCGTTTTTATTGACCTGGAAGTAACCTCCGGGTGGGCCCTCTCCCGTTTTAAAAACCAATGCGCCCTCTGAAAGGTTAACAATCAATACGCAAGCAGCATGCATGGGAGGTGAGTAAAAATTATAGGTAGCGATTATACCAACAAACGTAATACTTCTTGTACAAGCTTGTAACTAGTGGTGGGACTTTACTGTAGGAGGAGCATTAACCTTTAGAAGTCGAGTTTTACTGTAGAACTTGACTCCTATCAGTCATGCAATACTTATAAAAGTATAAATTTTATTATCAACCACAGCAAAAGGATGGACACTATATAGTTTAATTTCCACTTTGGATAGTAGGCCTAGCTAAGCTAACTGAATTTTGCTATACTATAGCATATTATACAGCATGTTATACTGAACTGTGTCAGGTATGTTCAGTTATGAAAACACACTTCTACCTAATAATAAATAATTATCAACCTTGTAGTTGAGCAAAATAAATTCTAGACAAGTCACCATAAAGTTGTAAACTAAAATTTTAATTATACCTACCCAGGATGTACATCATTGTAAAACAGTTGTCGAAAGCAAAACCAACAAAGAATCTGCATAGTGTGAACTGCCAGAAAGATGTGGTGAAGGCAGAGAGTACTCCAGCAATGAGACCGGTAAGATTGGTTCCTACAAGAGCTGAGATGCGGCCGTATCTGTCAGCCATCCAGCCGAAGATTAGGCCTCCCATTATAGCACCACAGAAGAATATGGACTGGGCTATAGTTGGCAGGGCTTTCAGGTCACATACCCAGTTTAACTGAAAACCAAGTCTAATGTCAGAAAAACAAAATTTAACATTTTCTCTTTATCATAAACTAAACTTTACATACCTCGTCTTGCAGTTCAAATATAGTGTTTGATGTCCACTACATATGTTTCGCCATATATGGCATTTTCAAGTGGTCACAGAAACATTTTATCCAATTTGGACTCGTCAACATGTTACTTCAAATACAAAAATATTTACATTATAACACCAAAATAAATAAAACTAATAAAAACATTGAAAAATGTAGGCCTACGACACATAACCCTTAAAAAATGGATTTTTATCATAAACACTTACGTTAGAGTATATTACTACCGTAACTGTTGAAGAGCATGCAATATTGTGCATAACTCAAAGAAGTAGTGGAGTGGTTAACGCATGAAAGTCAGAGACAATATTGGGAGCAAGGTAGTTATACCTAATTAACACTTTATTATAGTGTTCATGGCAATGGGAATTTTGTAGTTAATATGTATTTTTAGTGAAATCCTAAAGTGAGTGGCTAAAGAAAAAAGTATTATGTTATAGGGAACCCCCCCCCCCATCAGTGACTGCGGTAGGATATGGCACATGTTATTATACTACACACCCTTGCTTTTGTTTACAAATAAAGTCCTCTTGAACGGTTAAAGCGATCCATACAAAATTCAGCACAAACATAGTAACCGACTATGGGGAGGTGCAAATCGGATAACAGGGCTTTTTCTTGACGGCTACGAGAATGTAAAGCTTTAGAAATTTAACATGGGCCTTATGAGTTGATTGGTCGCCATGGCGGTTTTACAAGGTTACAATATAAACATAAACAAAAGAATTGTAATCAGTGCAGTTATAGGACCTTGTCAGGGCGGGGCAGGGGCCGTAATAAAAAAGGCAGAACATTTGGTATTTTTGTTTAGTCATTTGGTGACTTTCTAAAGCCATTTAAAAATCTAGGACTGTGTCCCAAAAACCTCTGTTACTTCTTCAGGACGAAATTTATTTCTCGGGTTCCAACGGGGGGGGATATCTGTAGACCCGCTGGAGCGTGGATTAATAAGGATGAGCATATTATACTACAAAATGAACCGATTAGAGCCAATGCACGATTAACTTTAGATACTACAAATACGTCCCATTATATATGAACTAGATGTAACATTGACTTTTAATACTGCAAGTAAACATACCATTGACATAAACCAAATCTAAATCACCTGTACCTCATTGGCTATGGTGGAATATGGCATCTCAGTAGAGTTGTATATCAAGCCTTGGTCGCAGGCCTTGGTGGGCCAGGATACATTAGCTTGTTGTATTCAATGAAAGGTTAAGTTACCTGTGTCCGCCAGTCGATCCTTATGTGCTGTGTCCTATTACAGGATATGCATTTCGGCAGAATAAATTGCCATCATCAGTCCTAACACAAGTTTTGAAACACGTACACGAACTTTACACTTATATACATTACGAATAACAGACAAATACACAAAAATACACAAATACACACGGTAGGCCTACTTTTATTTTAGTTACTACGGACATGTAGACGCGCGTCGGTCGTGTGTCGAGTCTCGACTGGGGTCAGACGTTACTTGCAGAGTTGACCTTTGTCCTGTCTCTGTCCTTTGTAGCTACAGGTGGCGTTTCATTCAATTTTAACAATGATTGGAATAATATGTTGGATTGTAGTGTACTTTTATCGTTCAGGAGGTTGTGGGGGCTGGTTTTAGATGCTCTATAAATTTCATATCTAGTGATGACATTACTCGACTTTTTCTACAAATGTGTAAAGGTTTTAAATTTTCATTCAGGCTGGAATAACTGTGATTGCTGCTAATTAGGTGCTCGGCAAAATTGGATTGTTGTGTTAAACTATTTTTGGGAAGGTGTTCTTTAAACCTCTTGATGAATGGTCTGCCAGTCTGTCCAATATAGAATTTATTACAGTCACTGCATGTTATTTTGTACACTCCGGATTTGTCACTCAGGTTTTTAACACTTTGTTGGGCTCTAGGTTTAAGGAGATTTTGGACTTTATTAGATGTTCTAAATGCTACAGTTTTTCCAAGTTTTTTCAATTAATTTTTTAGAGTGTGGGTGATTTTTTCTCCGTATTCAACTGAGACAAATTCTGTTTTTAATTTAGGCTTTGGATCTGCGGTCTCTTTACTAATTTTCTTTCTATGTTTGCTGATTAATGTGTCGATGATGTTAGGATTAAATCCATTATTGACAGCTATATATTTGATGACATTTCTCTCATTCTAGAAGTTTACGGCACTAAGTGGTACTGAGTATTCTCAAGAAGACGCTTCACAAGAAATATAAGATATCTTTTAACATGATTGACTACCACAACTTTAGCGTCATTCGGGACCGATGCAGGGCTGTATCCAGGGATTATCGTTTGAGCTACGTCAACCGTGTTAATACTACCATTTCCACTAATGTCAAGATCTTCTGGAGTTTTGTGAAGAATCTCTATCGAACATCTTCCATGCCCTGCTCCCTTAAACATGGTCCAACTGAGGTTTCCCACCCACATGAGATGTGTGAGCTGTTTGCTGAATATTTCTCGTCCGTCTACTCTCATGCGTCCCTTGATGAGCTGCCAGTACCCTCATTTGATACTCCATTCACCATCTCAGAATGTGCTATCTCCCTAGAAGATATCAATAAGAAGCTTCTTCACTTGGACCCCCCCCAAGGGTAGTGGACCTGACAACATCACGCCAGGAGTACTCAAATTCTGCCACTCTGAGCTGGTACATCAGCTCCATTTCCTATTTAACCTCAGTTTGTCTACAGGCACATTTCCCTCCACACTGAAATATGGTTATGTGGTTCCAATCTTTAAAGCCGGTGATCGTTGCGATGTTACAAATTACAGGCCCATAGTAATCCAGTCCGTCCTCAGTAAAGTTTTTGAAGGGCTTATTTTAGACATCGTACAGCCTTTATTTAAACATATCATAATTGATGAGCAGCATATGGCTTTACCTCTGGTCGCTTCACTGTGACGAATCTTTTATCACTCCAGTGTCTAGTGTTGGAAGCTTTTGGTCGAATAAATCAAGTTGACGCCATTTACATTGACTTTAGTAAAGCTTTTGACAAGATAAACCATAGTCATCTGCTAGCAAAGCTCCAAGGCTATGGGTTCGCTGGAAGGATTCTACAATGGTTTAAGAGCTACCTTACCAATCGACGGCTTGCTGTACGCCTTGGTTCTGAAGTCTCTTCTTTCTTCGCTGCAAGTTCTGGTGTTCCTCAAGGGTCTCATCTTGGACCGTTCTTGTTTTCCATCTTTATTAATGACATTAAGAAGGTCATCAAAGTCATTTCTTCTATTTGCGGATGACATTAAGCTACTCGTTGAAGCTCCCCATCGTTGAAGCATCCCATCATGACTGCCAGTCCTTGCAGGACGCCCTCGACGACGTATTTGGCCTCTCCAATGACATGGCTGTGAATCCCACAAAAACCAAATTGATCACGTTCAGCAGGAAATTAAATACAGTGTTAGCTGACTACTCTCTTGATGGTAACCGGGTTGAAAGATGCAATACCATCAAGGATCTTGGTGTTCTAATTGACTCCTTATTCGAGTTTGGACCCCACATAAACCAAATCTGCACCAGGGCCTCTCGTATGCTCGGATTGGTATTCCGCTCTGCTAGACATGGTTTGAGCAACCATGCCTGTATTATCCTGTACAAGTCTCTCATCCTGCAGCTACTCGAGTATGCTTCCTTGGTTTGGTCACCATACCATCTTGGCAATATTTACCATCTTCAGTCGGTACAAAGACGCTTCATCAGGTTCCTGGGATGTCGTGCTGGACTTGACTTTCGCGACGTCCGGGTTGACGAGCTCTCTAATATGTATGACATTCCGAGTCTTGAAAACAGAAGGCGAGTGGCTGATGTAACCTTTCTTCACAAACTGATAAATATCCAAGTCAACTGCCCCTTCTTGCTGGAAAGGATAAACTTCCATGTTCCTTCGAGAATCACGAGACATCAGCGTGTATTTGAACTTAACCATACTGGGACTAACTATCGCCAGATCCAGTCCCTTTCTCCGGATTATGCGCCTCAGGAATGTGATAAGCAGCTCTGTTGACCTTCTAACTGCCTCCTTGGGAGTGGTTCGGCGTTCTGCGGCTGACAGCATCCTTGAGGGTACCCCGTAAAAGCATTGTTGTTGTTGTCCCTTTGTTGTTGATTTTTCTCATGTTAATTTTGTGATCTATTTTGTTTGTATTCTTGTTAATGATATATTCATTGTTATATTTTGTTATTGTTATATTTTTTATACATTGTTATATTTTTCTGTAACATCAATATCCATTGTTTTGTCATGTAATAATTAGTTTTAAATATTGTTTTCTACTCCTCTGTTAATTATTAAATTTTTATAATATTTTCCTATTTGTAGCTACTTAATGTATAATGGTGTTTGCCGTTGGTGTTCAGTAAATAAATAAATAAATAAATAGGGGAGGCTTATCTCAGTGGCTATGGTAGAGTATGGTATCTCAGTAGAGTTGTATATCCAGCCGTGGTCACAAGCCTTGGTGGGCCAGTAGGATACAATAGCTTGTTGTATTCCCTGAGACATCCCTGGTATCCCTGGTTAGGATTGAGGGGCAACCCTCTTTCCGAAGGGTCTGCTTCGGCAGCCGGCGAGCCTGATGACCTTAAGTCATCCGCCCATGATGTGCCAAAGGTTGGTGCGTAAGCTTCAGCCTACATCATGAGGGTGTGGTAGAGCCGTGGTCGCAAGCCTTGGTTGGCCAGGATACATTATCTTGTTGTATTCCCTGAGACAACACCCTCGCCCAGTCCACATCATACACAACACACTAATATGGCATGTACACTTAATAGGGAAGGCTTACCTCAGTGGCTATAGTAGAGTATGGTATCTCAGTAGAGTTGTATAACCAGCAGTGGTCGCAAGCCTTGGTGGGCCAGGATACATTAGCTTGTTGTATTCCCTGAGACAACACCCTCGTCCAGTCCACATCATACACGACACACTAATATGGTATGTACACTTAATAGGGAAGGCTTACCCAGGAGGGCTCAGTGGCTATGGTAGAGTATGGTATCTCAGTAAAGTTGTATATCCAGCCGTTGTCGCAAGCCTTGGTGGGCCAGGATACAATAGCTTGTTGTATTCCCTGAGACATCCCTGGTATCCCTGGTTAGGATTGAGGGGCAACCCTCTTTCCGAAGGGTCTGCTTCGGCAGCCGGCGAGCCTGATGACCTTAAGTCATCCGCCCATGATGTGCCAAAGGTTGGTGCGTAAGCTTCAGCCTACATCATGGGGCCCGGGTATGTCCTCAAGGATAGGTACCGGGTATGCAGTCAGGGGGTTTCGGCTCTCATGACAAAATTGAAATTGAAATTGATGAAATTGAAATTGAATTCCCTGAGACAAAACCCTCGCCCAGTTCACATCACATCGTACATGACACACTGATATTGTATGTTCACTACAGGAAGGCTTACCTCAGTGGCTATGGTGGAATATGGTATCTCAGTAGAGTTGTATATCCAGCCGTGGTCGCAAGCCTTGGTGGGCCAGGATACATTAGCTTGTAGTATTCCCTGAGACAACACCCTCGTCCAGTCCACATCATACACGACACACTGCTCATAGCTGCCCTCCGTTGTCATAGGCACAGACAACACCAGCCTGACAATAACAAACGTTAAGAAAATGTTTTCTTCCAGTAATGCAACTACATTTTTTTTATTGTGGTTTTAGTCGATTGTTGAATTTTTCATAATTTTTTTATGGTTGAGTAATGACAAATCCTGAGCTTATTCCATATTTTTTCAACCATATATATTATAGCATCTACTTCAAAATATTTTTCGTCATACTGCAGCGAAAACAGTCGTTTTTAATGCATGTGTTGCGGGCCTAAAGTAGCATAGAGAGTAAAAATCAATTTAAAAGGCTCTAGGGAGTAAAAATCTGCTGTTGTAAACAGTTGTGAATTTTAATCGTAGCAATCGTATAGATTGAAATAATTTATCAATTGATTTATTGGGTAATGTTTTTTAGCCTGTCGATCACTCGACATAAGTATACAGCCACTCAAAATAGTTTTGAGTACCAAGGTGATAAAATGTACAATTTCTTGCCTGCATCGATCCATCAAAAACATGTGTGTTTTTAACAAGTTTTAAATAACTACTCTAACCCAGGCTTGCCTGTACATATATAGGGATGTTGCGTTGCGATACCACTGTCTTTCCGATATTTGGTATTGATACCGTATCGCAAAAAAGTATCGATACCGTATCGCAAAAAAGTATCGATACCGTATCGCAAAAAAGTATTGATACCGGCTCAGTATCGGAACTAAAGTATCGATACCGGCAGTATCGTATCCATTCGATACCAGTGACGTCATATTCTGATTCATTGATCTTCGATTAAAGTTTACTCGCTCCAGTACTGTACAGCCAATAAAGGACTCGAATTCGAGCTGCTAAAGAACTACCTAATTATGTAAAAATTTATAAAATTAACCAAACATATAGCCAACCTTTGTTTTCAATATTATATATTACCTTCAAGTAAAAGTTTAAGTACCTGTTGTTCTGAGCCTATATAATTTATCTTTTCAAAAGACAATTTTATTACATTACCAACCAATACACACACATTTGTGTTTACCATCAGCCTAAATTGAAAAAAAAGATTTTGTTAAATAACTTTTTTTTAAATAAGAGTTGGTACGCATGCAGTAAACGGTACTTTCCTGTTAAAGGGAACATTCATTATTATCGATTATTTTTTTCTCGATATATCGATGTTTTTGTTTTCCGATCCATTACAAATTGACAACAAGAAATGAAACTGTTCTAAGCTAACCTAACATAACCAACCATACATGCTGTACCATTATCATAATAATGATAATAATGAATGTTCCCTTTAACAGGAAAGTACCCAGTAAACTAATGAAATCAAAACTTTTAACGAGAAAGACAAAAATTAGAATCTACAAAACTATAGTAAGACCTGTACTTTTATATGGAGGGGAAAATTGGATCCTGAGCAAGAACTCAGAAAAGAAAATAATAACTTTTGAGAACAAAGTTTTGAGAACTATATATGGGCCAGTATGTGAAGATGGAATATGGAGAATCCGCCACAACCGGGAGCTAAGAGAATTATTTCAAGACCCTGCCCATGTAGCACAGATGGTTGGGCCAACGTTGGCCAACTGTGGGACAGTTGGTCGATGGTTGGTTGGAGCTTCCACAACCAACCAACCGTTGTCCAACTGTATATCTCGTAGTTGGGCCAACCAATATTTACAACTGTGGACCAACATTGGTTCATTGTTAATGAAATACATTAATATGCATTGCTGGGTATCATACATCAAGCCAACCGCTGTCCAACCGTTTTTCACTCCGTTGGACCAACAAAAGATACTTTTGTTGGACCAACAATGGTCCATAGTTGAGTTTACACGACTTTCATTCTCTGGGTCTAGCTTTCAGAACATAATTATAATAAAATATCTGGTTTTACAATACCTTTATCAGTTCCAAAAGTTTCCAAAAGTTTTTGGAACTGATAAAGGTATTGTAAAACCAGATATTTTATATATTACAGTTCCGGCGCTACAACAATGAATTTTAATAATTTTAATAATGCAAATATTTTTTAAATTAATATTCTTTAACTTATTTGCAACAATTTAAGGGGAAAGAGTAATTAATCATATAACAGGCAATTATAATAGCATTAACAATCTAACGGTAATTAATTAATCATTCAAATACCAGTATCCTCTCTAACTCCAAAAAAAAAACTACTTATGATGCCTTAACAGATTAACAGAATCATATTATACTGTGTAGTATCAAAAATGTTTGAAGTATTGCGACCATTGCAACTGTCGGCTACTCTTTCACCACTTGAAAACTCTCTATATCAGCAATCACAGATAGCTCAGTGGTAAAGTAAGAGGCTCATAAGTCGAAGGACCCGGGTTCGAGACCCGTCTGGGCCAACAAAATTTTGTTCTAGTTTTTTTTCAAAATTTGTTTTAATGAACTATTTAATCAATTTACTCAACTAATAATTATGCTTTTCGTACTAAATCTTTATTATTTTGTGTGAAATAAAACGGTTGGACAATGGTTGGCTGGAAAACAGTTTAAAGAGGTGACATTTCTACCGTTGGCCAACTGTGTGGCTCCACAATTTACCAACGTTGGCCCAACCATCTGTGCTACATGGGTGATATCATTGGAGAAGTTAAGAGTAGAAGATTAAGGTGGGTTGGCCATATCCTAAGGAGAAAGGAGGAGAGTCTACTGAAGATAGCACTCAGAGGAAATCCGAGGGGAAGAAGACCAATAGGTAGACCGAAAGCCAGGTGGTGGGGTCAAGTACGAAAAGATTTGGAAAGGATAAGGCTTGTAGAGGAAGATGCATGGGACCGAGACTATTGGCGACAGCGTGTTGGCGAGGCCAAGTACCAGCTAGGGTACAAGTGGCCATGGCAGTAAGCAGTAAGTAACTTTTTTTAAGTGTCATCTTTTTAGTTTATTTGATTTTGAATAGTCCATGGTTTCATTTTTTTTCCTAACACAACGTTGCTAACATTGACTTGAAAATAACTCTGCTACCAAACCCTTAGTTTTACCATTGACTATATATATCAATGGTTTTACTTATAGTTATGTAAAGTTCTATGAATGAATAGTGAATAGTGAATCATAATTTACTCAAACCAGACAACAATAACAAAATATTTAATTGGGTTAAAGTATGTTTCTTTTTTGGGTCACTGTTGCTCCAGCCTTGGAAAACAACTGCTCAGAAGGCACGAGCGAGGTCATTTTACTCAGATTTGTCAGAAATTACCTTCCGATACTTATGATACGATACTGGCCTCTTGGTATCGATGCCAAGTAAATATTGGAACAACCGATACCGATACGATTCCAGCAGTATCGCAATAAAAGTATCGTTACCTACTGGTATCGATAGTATCGCAACATCCCATCAGTGATGCGACTATCGACTATTTTCCTCTATCGACTAGTGACTAGTCGAGTACTTTAAAACATCGACTAGTCTAGTCGAATAATCTAGTCGACTAGTTTCCTCCACCAAATGATATGACTTATACAATGTTTTTCAAGTTATGACAGGTTTACTTGATTGCCAGCAGTTTCGCATTCGCACTCACAGTTGTGTTTAATACAGGACCAAAGCTAAACATTATTTTTGTTTATAAGTCGCTACATCGCGTTACTATTTAAGTTTTTTAGTTTTTCATTAATAATAATTTGAAGTGTGATGTTGAAGTGTTAATGTTTAAGTGTGAACAAGTGTGTATCGATGTTTGATTAATTTGCATGTAAAATGGCTCCAAAACGGTCAATAAAGTGGGAACATTTTGATAGACTTGACAAAGAAACTGTCTTGTGTAAATTATGCAGGAAAAAGCTAAAATGTGTTAACATGACCAGCAATATGCGCCTACACTTAAGGAGCAAGCATCCTACTTTGTTGTGTGTTGAAAGTTTTGGTGTTTCTCCGGAAGAAAGAAATGTTGACGACCCTGCAGAGGTTGTATGCCATCTACATCAACCGCTGAGGCTGGTACGAGCATCTAACTTTGACAACTCACAAACCACCGGTAAGAGTACATCCTGCTTCTGAAAAAATACACACCCCAACTAACCTATCTCCAGCGTTGATTGTCCGCCCAAAAAACGTTGTAGACAGCTGAAATTAAATACAAGAACCATGACTTTTACAGATCAAGAAAAGTGTTCTATTGATAGGGCTCTTGTAAAAATGGTAGGGATCAAGACCTGCAACCTCTATCTGTTGTAGAGAACGTGGGCTTTAGGGAATACACGGAAAAACTTCATCCAAACTATACATTACCATCACAAAAGACCCTGACCAACACTAATCCCAGAAATTTGAGATGAAATTACTCAGAAAATTACAAATATGTTGAACCATACTGAAAGTGTCGGTATAACTACAGACATCTGATCATCGGACTCTAACAATTCCTATTTAACTGTCACATGTCATTTCATTAATAACATATAATAGAAAATGATAATAGAAATGAACCTCTTGATACTAAATAAATCCCCGGCAGTCATACAGCAGATGCCATAGCAGCAAACGTCCAGAGCATTTTGGATGCATGGAATATTTCTGATAAGGTAACAGCCATTATCACTGACAATGGGTCAAACATGAAAAAGGCTGTTACAGACATCTTAAGAAGACCCATATACCTTGTATCGGACACAAATTAAATCTGTGTGTTACAGGATGTGATTGAATCAAATGTTGGTTTCAAAGAGTCGCTGAAGAAGTGCAAAAAGATTGTAACTTACTTCAAAAGTATGTAGTAATTTGGCAGCAGACAAATTGAAAGAAGTACAGACCCAAATGAACTTAACTACTCTTAAAGTCAAACAAGAAGTTACCACTAGGCCTAGATGGAATTGAGTGAAAATTTAAAAACGTACGTTTTCATGTCCCTGGCCTTTTACTTCGTAGGTACTGGATTTGTAGTTTATTATTATGTGTTCTAATATTTTTTGGGACGGGGGCAACATGTTACACACATTTATTTGGTTTTAAATAGGTTCTAGGTATTTTTTTCGTATTTTTAAAGTCTTGAA